TTTAATAAATATAAACTTTATAGGTACGGCTTTTGGAATATAGTGGTTCTTCCCCCCATACCCACCCCCACTCCCATCCCACCTCTGACTCCCTCTCCTATCCCATTCTTCATTAAGATTCATTTTTAATTATCTTCATATACAGAAGACCAACTCTATTCTAAGACTTCAGCACTGAGTGCAATAAATTTTGATTGTTTCTCATAAATTCAAAGTAGCTTCATATGGTATCGTTCTTGCTTTGAAATGCAATTAGTAACTTCCATACATAATTTATCAAGTGAAAAAAATGAGTATACAGTGAGACCGTGCTTAAATTTAAGTATAGAAATATGAAATTGTCAAAATTGGAAATTCAGTTTTCTTTGCACTATGTCATCTACCATGTTTTCTTAGTTAGCAGAAACAAGGAGGGGGATGGGTGGATGTGGTGCAGCAGGGGAGGCCACCATTTGGGACGCCTGCATCCCCATCTCAGAGCGCCTAGGATCAAGTCCTGAGGGAGCTCGGGACCAAATGCAATCCAGACTACCACGACCCCACAGCTCCTCGGCAGCACGTACACACTGCAGCGCCAGCCCGGCACGTATGCACTAAATGGAACAGGGCGGCAGCCCCTTGTAGCACACACTTATCAACGATGACAAGATCTAGGTTTCCATGACAAGATCTAGGCCTGATAAAAACAAGCTAGAAAGGGCTGCAAGAAGACTGCCCCCGGCCTTCACCGTAACTAACGGATAACCTTACCTTTGCTCCTTGGAGACGACGTGGTCAGGTCATACAAATACCCTAGACTGCTCGACCTCCGCAGCTGGGTCTCTCCACCCACCAGTCCCTCTGACGGAACTGTTCAGAGCTTCTTACATAAAACGTCACGTCTTCTACTCTCACCATTGTGTCTGGTTTTGTAAATCGTCATTGACACCAGAACATGAACTCAGCCTCATCTCCCCAGTTCTCCTGTAACAGTCCCGCCTCCACTTCTGATGCACCTTCCTGCTAATGCACCAGGAAGGCAGCAGATGATGGACCAAGTGCTGTGTTCCCGTCACCCACATGGATGACCTGGATGGAGTTCTTGGCCCTCTGCTTCGTCCCGGCCCTGCCCTAGGTATTGCAGGCATTTGGGGAGTGAACCAGCAGGTAGAAGATTGCTTTCTCTCTGTTTCTGTCTTTTCCTCCATCCCTCCCTGGCACCACTCCATTCCCTGTCACTCTGCCTTTCAAATAAAAAAGAAAAAAAAAAAAAAAAGAAATGAGGAAAGATCTTTACTACAGAAAAGAAAATGTTTGCTGATAATTATTTGTAAAATCAGATGAATTTTCCTGTTTGCTAAAGCTGTTTCAAATAAAAAGCTATATTTTATATAACCCCCCTTAAGTGTGACCTCAAAAATAATTTGTATTTAATTTTCTGAGATGCAAACCAACTCCCCCAATATATTTCTTTTTTATAACTTTTATTTAGTAAATATGAATTTCCAAAGTACAGTTTATGGATTACAATGGCTTTTTCCCCCCATAACTTCCCTCCCACCCGCAACACTCCCATCTCCCGCTCCCTCTCCCATTCCATTCACATCAAGATTCATTTTCAATTATCTTTATATACAGAAGATCAATTTAGTACATATTAAGTAAAGATTTCATCAGTTTGCACCCGCACAGAAACACAAAGTGTAAAATACTCTTTCAATACTAGTTATAGCATTACTTCACATTGGACAACACATTAAGGACAGAGATCCTACATGAGGAATAAGTACACAGTGACTCCTGTTGTTGACTTAACAATTTGACACTCTTGCTTATGGCGACAGTAATCTCCCTAGGCTCTACTCATGAGTTGCCAAGGCTATGGAAGCCTTTTAGTTCGCCGATTTCGATCTTATTCAGACAAGGTCATAGTCAAAGTGGAAGTTCTCTTCTCCTTTCAGAGAAAGGTACCTCCTTCTTTGATGGCCCTGTTCTTTCCACTGGGATCTCACTTGCAGAGATCCTTCATTTAGGTCTTCTTCTTCTTCTTCTTCTTCTTCTTTTTTTTTTTTCCAGAGTGTCTTGGCTTTCCATGCCTAAAATACTCTCATGGGCTCTTCAGCCATATACAAATGCCTTAAGGGCTGATTCTGAGGCCAGAGTGCTATTTAGGACATCTGCCATTCTATGAGTCTGCTGTGTATCCCGCTTCCCGTGTTGGATCGTTCTCTCCGTTTTTTATTCTATCAGTTAGTATTTGCAGACACTAGTCTTGTTTGTGTGATCCCTTTGACTCTCAGACCTATCAGTGTGACCAATTGTGAACTGAAATTGATCACTTGCACTAGTGAGATGGCATTGGTACATGCAACCTTGATGGGATTGTATTGGACTCCCCTGGCACGTTTCTAACTCCACCATATGGGGCAAGTCCGATTGAGCATGTCCCAAATTGTACATCTCCTCCCTCTCTTATTCCCACTCTTATATTTAACAGGGATCACTTTTCAGTTAAATTTCAACACCTAAGAATAATTGTGTGTTAATTACAGGGTTCAACCAATAGTACTAGAACAAAAAAAAAATACTAAAAGGGATAAAGTATTACATTGTACATCAACAGTCAAGACAAGGGCTGATCAAGTCACTGTTTCTCATAGTGTCCATTTCACTTCAACAGGTTTCCCCTTTGGTGCTCAGTTAGTTTTCGCCGATCAGGGAGAACATATGATATTTGTCCCTTTGGGACTGGCTTAATTTATTCAGCATAATGTTTTCCAGATTCCTCCATTTTGTTGCAAATGACCAGATTTCCTTGTTTTTTACTGCTGTATAGTATTCTATGGAGTACATGTCCCATAATTTCTTTATCCAGTCTACTGTTGATGGGCATTTGGGTTGGTTCCAGGTCTTAGCTATTGTGAATTGAGCTGCAATAAACATTAATGTGCAGACAGCTTTTTTGTTTGCCAATTTAATTTCCTTGGGTAAATTCCAAGGAGTGGTATGGCTCGGTTGTATGATAGGGTTATATTCAGGTTTCTGAAGAATCTCCAGACTGACTTCCATAGTGACTTGACCAGTTTGCATTCCCACCAACATTGGGTTAGTGTCCCTTTTTCCTCACATCCTCTCCAGCATCTATTGTTGGTAGACCCCCCAATATATTTCTTTTAAAAAAAAAAGATTTTATTTATTTATTTGAGAGACAGAATTACAGACAGTGAGAGGGATAGAGAGAAAGGTTTTCCATCCACTGGTTCACTCCCCACATGGCTGCACCTGCAGGAGCTGCGCCAATCTAAAGCCAGGAGCCAGGAGCCTACTCCAGGTCTCCCACATGGGTGCAGGAGCTCAAGTGCTTTCCCAACCCACAGCAGAGAGCTGGATCAGAAGAGGAGGCGCCAGGACTAGAACTGGCGCCCATATGAGATGCCAGCACTGCAGGCAGAGGATTAACCTACTGCGCCACAGTGCTAGCCCCAGTATATTTCTAAATTAATGATAATGCCATGCTTTGACTGACGATATGCTTGCCGCTTTGGCAACTCAGTAGCTTACTCAATCTGAGTCTCCATTTCCTGTTCAAGTGAAGGGACTGGCAGGCTTCCCCAAAAGTCAGAAGTTAACAAGGCCCATCATGCCCCGTTGCCACATCCAAAAAGATGCACATTTTATCCTGTTGACTTAATATTCTTTTAGGGCCCAAAAGGCCATCTGTGGTTGTTGTGAGACTTGTTGTCATGTGCACACACAAGCACACTATTCTGAGTTCCTCCTGGTTACCGGCTTTGGAATGGCTAAGGGATGCAAGGATGGCAGTTTGCAAACAAGAATTCACCCAGACAGCACTATTCAACGTTTTAGAAGACTTAGCAACTTAATTAGATGCTAGAATTTTTTAGATACTATTACACATTACAGATGTGTCTATTTGACAAATGGGTTTTTTTTAGGTCAGAGCTCTATTGTCTATATTGTACTCTACCTCAGATCACTCCAAAACAGAGAAATAACTTAATTTTAAAGGTGTAATTCCTAGAAGGTATGTCTCAACTCCATGCAGTGATCAAACAGGGATTAAAAGACTTGTAATTGGCTGGCGCTGCGGCTCACTAGGCTAATCCTCCGCCTAGCGGCGCCAGCACACCAGGTTCTATTTCCGGTCGGGGCGCCGGATTCTGTCCCAGTTGCCCCTCTTCCAGGCCAGCTCTCTGCTGTGGCCAGGGAGTGCAGTGGAGGATGGCCCAAGTCCTTGGGCCCTGCACCCCATGGGAGACCAGGAGAAGTACCTGGCTCCTGCCATCGGATCAGCGCGGTGCGCCGGCCGCAGCGCACTGGCCGCGGCGGCCATTGGAGGGTGAACCAACGGCAAAAGGAAGACCTTTCTCTCTGTCTCTCTCTCACTGTCCACTCTGCCTGTCAAGACAGAAAAAAAAAAAAGACTTGTAATTGACCAGCCTCCTGATCACTTTAAAGCCTGTCCTCAACACAATTTCATGTTTACACATTTACACTCATTCAGCAATTTTTAAAGGAAGAATAAAAATAATTCTGTATGTATTTATAGTGTCTGGCCTTCCAAAAGCTTAGATGGTCATATGTCGCTCACATGTCTTCCACACTACCTCTGAGAAGAGATGTACTTTTTCTTAATTCCATCCAGTTCTTGCAAAAGGCACATGAGTCAACAGAGAATAAGTCTCAGTCACAGGAGCATTCAAAGTAGCAGATTTGAGCAAAGAAACAACACAAATATGACCAACACAAATGGAAGCAAAGAGAGAGGCAAGCATGACATTAAATCATTATGGTGAAAAACAAAACTGAACAGTTGGGTGCTCAACAGTCCCTTCATTTCTTACTCCTTGCCATCCCCTCGGAATTCATCACATAACCGTTTATAAAGTACAAGGTCTTCTTGGGACATGATCAGCATCAACGACTTCCCTATGTCCTCGCATTAAAGCATTCTGAGATCCATGTTCCATCTTACTCTTCCTACTCATCTACAGATAGCAGCAATCGACTTTCAACTATGTAGAACAACAAAAAAATCACCATACCATAACAAGTGTTACTAATGCTTTAAAAGTATGAAATAAATTTTAAGATTATATTATTATCTAGCGTTTTTGTTTTAAAAATTTTATACTCTGTAGCATCCTAGAAGAACACTACCATCCACACCCAGAAGCTGCTCAGCTCACACAGACTTAACACAACAATCCAGTTAAATTAATTTACTTATTGCCTGTAGAACCAATAGGGACAGAAATGCCACAGCAAGACAAAAGTGGGGAGATATGTGACTGCTCTGTAGGTTTTGGGAATAGTTTCCTTTTGGGGGTTGGGAATACAGGATAGATATCTAAGGGAGACACTGAACCAAAATCTACAAACACCATTATGGGTAGTTCCACTAGGCCACTCCAAGGTAGCTGACATTCCACTGTGGCAGAAACAGCAGGGAAAAAAAACAGTCAGATGAATTGGAACCTGCAAAATTGAGGATCAGATATATGAGCCTTTTGATCACCCTAACAGTAACCTATATCTTATTTGTGGAAAAGAAATTAAACCGCTTACAAACAAGCCTAGGTTTTTTGTTTCTTCTTCTTCTTCTTCTTTTTTTTTTTTTTTTTTTTTTGCAATTCTGATGAAAAACATACGCACTTTTATGGATATGCAAAGGAAACCAATTTTTTAGCTGCAATAAAAAGCATTGGAAAAGCCTCCTAATTCTCAGTAACTCACCCAAAAAAAATCCTCTTTTGTTTCTTTCATAAAGTGATGCCCTACCAAGTGCATTGGAATTCTAAGGTTTCTTTTTAAAACTTATTTATTTATTTGAAATGCAGAGGGTGGGGAGGGGGGAGAAAAGGAGAGAGTTGAAAGGAGAGAGGGACAGAGAGCTTTCATCCACTGGTTCACTTCCTAATAGGCAGCTCTGAGCCTGCCTGAAGTCAAGAGCCAGGCACTCCATCCAGGTCTCCCACATGAGTGGCAGGGGCCCAGGCACATGGGCCATCATCTGCTGCCTTCCAGGGTGCATTGGCAGGAAGCTGGATTGGAAGCAGAATACACAGAAGGCAAACTTGCGCTCCGATATGGGACACCAGCATCGCAAGCTGCTCCACGACGCTGGCCCCTGGGATTCTTCAGGTGCCACCCTCTGCACGAAGATGATAGAACTGACATGCGTGAACTCTATGGGCTCATTTTCATAATAGAGAGAGTTTGATAAAACAGTTCCACTCTCTCTTCTGAAATCCCAAACTCGAGGCAAGGATTTTGGAAGTAAGGAGCCAGAATGTGACCAAAGCACCACTCAGCTTGAAAACCTAAAACAAGGCCTTAGAGTCACTTACTTACCCCACTCCAGGGCTACCAGGGTTGCTGATATGTTACTTAACCTATGTCATGCACACTCTGGGAGTCAAAGCGTTAAACCGTCCTCCGAGAGCACAGACTGACTTTAGCAGGCTATAACAGAGCAAACTTTATCGATGGCTAGAGTGACTTTCTGTTCCTTAACTTTCTTTGGGAGGCTTACAGTGAATGGGCTCAATGTTATCAAGAACACCTAGAGACTCACCACATTTTGTTTCTCGCTTTTAAAATTTGTCTTAGCTCTTCAATGCCTTTTTTATTTTTTAAGGATTTATTTATTTATTTGAGAGGCAGAGATCCAGACATCGATAAGGAGAGAGGGAGAGAGAGAGAGAGAGAGAGAGAGAGAGGTCTCATCACCAAAGGAAACAACTCCCCAAAGAAAACAACACCCCAAAGGGCAGCCAATAGCTGGAGCTGGGCCAATCTAAAGTCAGGGGCCAGGAGCTTCTTTTGAGTCTCCCACGTGGGTGCAGGGGTCCAAGGACTTGGGCCATCTTCCACTGCTTTCCCAGGCCATTAGCAGAGAGCTGGATCAGAAGTGGAGCAGCCAGGACTTGAACCGGTACATGAACTGTACGTACGGGATGCTGGTGCTGCAGGTAGAGGCTTAATCTATTATACCACAGTACTGGCCCCCATGAATACCTTTCAAAAATTAATTAATCAATTTCTATTTTACTTGTTTACTTGAAAGTCCAGAGACAGAGAGAGAGAGAGAGAGAGAATCTTCTATCCACTGCTTCATTCCCCAGTGCCTGCAACAGCTGGGAGTAGACGAAGCTGAAGCCAAGAACCTGGAATTCATAATCTTTGTCATCTCCCTTACCCTTCCCTCTGATCTGACAAAATCTACCTTAGTTTCTGAAAATGGCATGCCTACAACCTTACAAATTCCAATTAAAGAAAGATTAATACAATGTAAATCATTTTCAAAAAATCTTGTCATATGACATTCAGAAAGTCTAGTACCAACAGCAGTATTAAAGGCACTATAAATTCATTACAAAAAGGTATTTCTTAAATGATCTCCATGGTGGCTTATTTCTAAGAATGGTCAAGGAATTGCAAAGAGGGAAAATGACAGAAAAAAAAAAAAAAAAGCAAAACTATGTTGTCTTTCTTCATTGAACCTGACACAGTTCACAGTTAACCTACCTCAAGTTTAAGTAAGTCAGCATCTGCAGGTTGATGATGGCCTCGGGAATGACTCGGATGCAATTGTGATACAGATTAAGAATTTCCAGTGATACGAAATGGCACAATTCCATTGGAACTTCAACCAGTCTGTTTTTAGATAAATCTGTGAGAGAAGAAAAGAACATTTTGTCAATAAATCCTCAACAAACTCATATTATCTTATTATTCATGAATATTTTTCAATATTATAATCTGAAGTTAGATTGACATGATCATTTTTTGCATCTGTTACCACAGTGTTATGATTTCTAATTTCTTCGCTACATTCAGCTACACATGGGATAAGGAAAAGCAAAAGAATTGGTAAAACTTTTAGCTTTCTTGGCCGGCGCCGCGGCTCACTAGGCTAATCCTCCACCTAGCGGCACCGGCACACCGGGTTCTAGTCCCGGTCGGGGCGCCGGATTCTGTCCCGGTTGCCCCTCTTCCAGGCCAGCCCTCTGCTGTGGCCAGGGAGTGCAGTGGAGGATGGCCCAGGTGCTTGGGCCCTGCACCCCATGGGAGACCAGGAAAAGCACCTGGCTCCTGGCTCCTGCCATCAGATCAGCGCGGTGCGCCGGCCGCAGCGCGCCGGCCGCGGCGGCCATTGGAGGGTGAACCAACGGCAAAAGGAAGACCTTTCTCTCTGTCTCTCTCTCTCACTGTCCACTCTGCCTGTCAAAAAAATAAATAAATAAATAAATAAATAAACTTTTAGCTTTCTTAATTTGCAAACCAAGACATGAGAGGGAAATTTCTTCCTCTATCTTGCAATTATCTCAAACTCATGCTACTTTATGCATTCCAGAAAAAAATCCATTCTTCAATATATTTGAATACATATACTTACAATAATTATTAACTCAATTTGGCATATATATGTGTAACACACATATACATATGTATAATCTTTTGAACTGGGGAATACACTTTTATACACAAGCAATATGACTTTCATACCCTCTGTATGTAATAAAACTCTACACAAATATTTTATTCACTAAAACCACAAGAGAAATCAACATCTATTAAGAACCAAGTCTTTCTGCCACATGACCACCAGGAAAACTGGAGACCACCAACCAAGTGTATAAAAACGGTAATACTGGTCTACAGAGTGACGTAAGCACGCAGCACGCATGGCTCACAGTATTGCCCCTCACCAGTAAAATGACGGAATAACCCCTAATACATAAGTCTCAGAATGGGAGACATGACTGCCAAACATCATAAAACACTGGATATGAGGAAAGAGTCAGCTCTCCCAAAAACACGACCTCAACGGTAAGACATCACCTCGTCCTGCAGCACTGAAAATGCCTAGTGAACAACACGCCACATGCACCCTGACCAAGGGGAGGGATGAAGGAAACGCAAGTAGTTCAGTGCCATCCTGGGAGTGGGAGTGCAGGAGCTACATCCCCTGACGCCCCCACCAGTAAACAAATATACAAATAAATAGGACCGAATGGCTCGAGGGGGAATTGTAACAAAAATTTTTAAAGAAATAATCTGATAATATTTCAACCATTACAACCATTACAGGAACACTGCCAAAATCTTACTTAAAAAGTTAGGTATAATATTGGCATGATCACCTAACAAGGAAAGTACATGAAAGGGAAACTACATATCCATGAACCTACTAAACATTGATGTCAATCCTTAATTCTAAACATTAGCAAATAGAATTCAGTAGAACATATTAACATACGGTAAGTAGGATTTATCTAGTAATAAAGGTTATTACAACAATTTGACATACAAGTAGACCAAAGGTGAAATAGCATATGATAATCTCCATGGATACTCAAAAGACACTGGATAAAATGCTACGTTCATTTGTTATTAAGAACATTTTATTGAGGTGTATTTTTATATACCAAAAATTGACCCAGACCCATTTCAAGTTTACAATGCATTGACCCCCCCCGTAACTTTACTGAGTTGTGTGTTCATCATCAGGTATCACTGTTAGAACATTTATATTCATTCTCTTTGTTTTCCCTGTTTTTTTTTTATTAACATGAAGAACCTGTACATTTTTTTTTTTTTTTGATAGTCAGAGTGGACAGTGAGAGAGAGAGAGAGAGAGAGAGAGACAGAGAGAAAGGTCTTCCTTTTCTTTGGTTCACCCCCCAAATGGCAGCCACAGCCGGCACACCACGCTGATCCGAAGCCAGGAGCCAGGTGCTTCTCCTGGTCTTCCATGCGGGTGCAGGGCCCAAGCACTTGGGCCATCCTCCACTGCCTTCCCGCGCCACAGCAGAGAACTGGACTGGAAGAGGGGCAACCGGGACAGAATCCGGCGCCCCGATCGGGACTAGAACCCGGGGTGCTGGTGCCGCAGGCGGAAGATTAGCCTATTGAGCCACAGTGCCGGCCGAACCTGTACATTATTATGGGGTACACCGCTATACTCTAACCATGTAAAGAGTGTAAACTGATTAAATTAATTGATGAGCATTTCAATTTTCTCATCTTTTATTTCTGCTTAGAGACTACCAGCTCCTCTCTCCCAGCTCCACGTGCAGCATTGTGAACTGTAGTCACCCACTGTGCCGGGGAACTCTAGAACCCACCACCTGCTTCTGACTGTGCCTTGGTGCCCAGGATACAACTGCTTAGCAAAACCAGAAGAGTCAGATACTTCCTTTCATGATTCACATACACACACACACACACACACACACACACAAAGAGAAAGAGAGAGTGGATGAGAGAGGGGAAGAGAATGCTTTTATTTACTACTAAAATTACCAATTATATTTATCAGTGTTCAGAAAATAACCAGAGGAAGGTATTAGACAAGGAGAGGAAACAAGACTCAAAGTTGGAAAGACAAAGCTACTTATTTGTAGATAAGATGATTGTTCTTCTGTAAAATCCAAGAGTTATCAACAGAAAATAACAATGATACAGGGACGAAAACTAATATGCTGAGACATCAGGCTTCACACACGAACTAGCAAACTGAGATAACAGCAGAGACCTACCTATGGCAATTACAGAAGGGTGAGAGACTTAATTTTCTTAAGAAATAGCATAGAGTTTATATGAAGAAAATGGCAAAACGCAACACAAAAGTTAAACCCATCAAAAAGCTATTCCATTAATTAAAGAAAACTCCATATCAAAAAGGTCCATTCTGTTATACCTGAAAGATTTAAAATGCACTTCTAACTTAAAAAAATTGTTTAAGGATTATCAGATAAGGTGATTCTAAAAGGCATGTGGTAAAATAACAGCACAAAATGATAACATCTCTCTCCAAAAAACAGGAGCTAGGAGAGGAACCAGCTGTGCCAGACATCAAAAATACATGAGAAAGCAATGTGGTGGATAGATGGGAAGCTCATTGGAACAAACTGCAAAGATGAGAAATGAGACAAAGAGATACACATATGGAAATCAACTGTGCAGCCCAAGCGGCACTTGAAGCCCACAGGGAGAAAATGCAAAGTCAGGTGGTGGCTTGAGAAGCTGCTGAGCACCTGAAACCATCCAGAACCCTGCCTCACTGCCAACGACAAAGTCATGGCAGCAAGAGGGCAACAGGTGGGAAACTACAGTTTAGGATCTTAGGATAAGGAAGGCCTTTCCACAGATGACATAAAACCAAACAGATAAATCTGACACATAAAAACACAACTCAAGGCATTTTACAACAAACGGAACTTCACTCACGCATGCGTGGGGGCTGGGGGTGAAGTCCTACCACTCATAAATCCAACAGGCTTATCTTTTTTACGTAGAAAGAGCTTCTACAATCAGTAAGAATGAAACTGAGGGAAATACACTAGGAAAAAGATGGCTCACAGAACAGGGCACACAAATGGGTTGTAGGCATAAGGATAAGAGTCATCAACCTCACTGGAATCGCAGCAATGCAAATGACAGCCCCATGGAGACAGTTCAACTAGGCTGAGGAATACAAGATCGGGTACGCACACGATAATGCTGAGGCTGTGGAGCACATTAGGTGGAGAACATTTTAGGAATATCTACCAAAATGAGGAGCTTAGAGCAAAAGGCAGAAGGCAGCAGCTCTGCAGGGTGAGGGAGTGCCGACACTGACCAGTTAATCATCTTACCATGACCTGGAAATTTGCTGAGAGTAGACTGTTAGGTGCTTTTGCCACACACACGCGCACACACACACACACACACAGGAAACTACACAAGATGGATTAGTTAACTTGGTTGACTACAGCTGTCATTTCACTATGTGTGTATACATGTACCAAAACATCATGTTGTCTACCTGAAGTACCTATGACTTAACAGCTACAAATAAAATTCAGCTTAGCAACCTTTCTTCATCTACGGATGCAGTCATATGTGTGCAAGTGATACATTTTGAAACAGCAAAAGATAAAAAGCAATTTAATTATCAGTGAAGGCTGGTTAAATATTAATTTACCATTAGTAAATATCATAAAGATGGCTAAAATTAAAACAGCCAATCCATACTAATGTGATTTTAATTCTGATGGAACGTAACATTAATCATATTCCATAATGGAACATTAAAACTATGCAGCTATTAAAATGAATGATGTAGCCGGCGCCGCGGCTCACTAGGCTAATCCTCCGCCTAGCGGCGCCGGCACACCAGGTTCTAGTCCCGGTCGGGGCGCCGGATTCTGTCCCGGTTGCCCCTCTTCCAGGCCAGCTCTCTGCTGTGGCCAGGGAGTGCAGTGGAGGATGGCCCAGGTGCTTGGGCCCTGCACCCCATGGGAGACCAGGAAAAGCACCTGGCTCCTGGCTCCTGCCATCGGATCAGCGCGGTGCGCCGGCCGCAGCGCGCCGGCCGCGGCGGCCATTGGAGGGTGAACCAACGGCAAAGGAAGACCTTTCTCTCTGTCTCTCTCTCTCACTGTCCACTCTGCCTGTCAAAAAAATAAAAAATAAAAAATAAATAAAAAAAAAAGAAATAAAATGAATGATGTAGCTCTGTATGTGCTGATAGGAAACCACCTCCATGACACGGTGTAAATGGTTTTTTAAAAGCAAGTACAAAACAGTGTAGAGAGTATCTGTGTTTTCTAGTGGATACTTACATAACCATTTAGCTGTAAATATTTTATCTCTGAAGGGCTAGACAAGAAATTGGTAGAAGGG